AACCTGACCACTTCACTAAGTCGCCACACCCCATATATTATTATAATTATATTATCATATTATATATGTATATATATATAATTAACAGTAATTAGTGTAAAATATAAAGCTAATCAAAATTCTGCCTCAAAACTGTGTAAGTGTAAAATATCAAGCCAATCAAAATTCTGCCTCAAAACTGTATATTGTATATAGATTGCTAATAAAAAATATAGTATCATAACAAACAAAGATTAATTAATGGTATATTTGTTGCATGTGTCATTTTTTTATGAGTATCAGTAAAAATTAAAAAATAAAGTAGGTTTTAAATAAATTAGGTTATTTGGCTTTTTTAATAAATATGATGTAATAATACTGACATATTTCTTTAAATATTATTTGTTTAAATACTTATTATATAAATAGTCATACATTAAGGTTCTGGAATATTCAAAACATTGTATTCAGAAAATATATATCAATATACTGTATCTTTATTCATGTTCAAGACAGGTGTATTAGTTCTAAAAAATCAATAACTTATTCTTAAATAATGCATCTAAGTGATATTAGGAGCTAAAATAATGTGCAAGTTTTTTAGATAATTATTCTTTGCAGCTTAGTGCAGATAATACTTTAAAATATACTATAATAAAAGTTTCAAATTATAAATATTATTATGAAATATACGTTTCTCAATAAAAGTATAGTGTGACATACTGTAGCATAGTAGGCTTTCATTGTAATTGGCTAATTTTTGTAGATCATCTCGTGATATTGCAAAAATATCATTGGTTAATCAAATTATTCGCAAGGCAATATTTTATATGAAACTAATCACTATAATGACTAAATATTCAATAATGTATAAAGTTAATTTGTATTAATAAATATATTACTACAAAGTTTAACAACCCAGAGTCTAATATCATAATCCCAATACAAATAGAATCATATAACCTAAGATCCTATTTTAAAAAAATACTTAAGATAAAAATAACAATAAAAAAGCACAAAAAACATCAAATATTTATAATAAGAAATAATAAAAAAACTATATAACAAATTTTAATTGAATTTAATAACAGCCAATTAACACAAACCAAATTTAACCTTAATCTTAATAATCTTAAACATAACACTACACTTTAATATTCTTATATATTGTGCTATTTTTAATTTCTCACAAAAGTCACAAGCTTATATTTTCATTGCTTCATGTCACTAAGCTATTTTACTGGAAGTACATGCCTGTCTTTAAAATAATAAATAAGTTATAAAAAATAGATTAGCGATGTAAACCTTTTGAATTTATTGTCATTTCACCAAGTTTAACATACTGTAAGTTATATTGGTTAAATTGAAACATCTAGATATACCTCTCATCTAACTTCCAAATTACCTTGCGGTCTACTGAATTACTTTCACAGTATATGAAGTAAAGCTTGAGCTTTCAAATTTGTTTTGTCTTACCTTCACTCAATTCGTATTTATGGCACCCGATTCATTCTTGTAACAGCAAATCATTATTTTAATAAGACTTTAATATGATGAGATGATCTTCAAAATCAGCCAATCATAATAAAGCCCACTATGCTGTAGCAAAAAAAAGCCAGCGTCGCCAATAATCGAGGGTGCAGTCATATAATCTCCAATCTTGATTAATTCGCTTTTGATTGTTGCATTTATAATAGTTACATATATGATTGTAAATGTCATAACGATTATAATAATAATAATTTGAGCTTGTTACTAATTATCTACAGTATTGTACAAACTTTTTTTCAAAAATTTATTTGCAATGGAAGAAATAAAAAATAACTCTTTAGTTGAAACAAAAGCATGTACTAGATACAATTGCATCAAACCACTTGCAGATTTTACAGTTGGTAAAGTTACTCATTCCTGTTGCAAAACTTGTCACAACAATATGTCTCAAGCAAAAAAACAAAAAAGACAAGAAATTGATGATTGTATAATTGAAAAAGAAAATATGTTCGATTTTGCAGATATTACAGATTATGTCTATAATGTACTTTTAGACAGTAAAGATTTGGATAATGACTTTGAAGGGCAAACAAGATTTTAACTTGAATTTAATATTAATTTGGAATCGATTGATGAAGTTCTGGTTCTAGTTAATACAGATCAAGATAGAAACTTGTGTATCATCAATCTTGTTATTAATGAAATCAGTAACGGTGACAGATATATGTATATACATCAATTAATATATAATAGTAAAAAACAGAACTTCGTAACATTTACATACTAGTGCAATGCATGAAATGAGTTGCATAAATATCATAAAAAAGTTGATGATATATTAAAGCAGCATAGTGCTGATATATTTATCAAACATTATAATTGTAAAGGCATAGTTGTACTTAAAGTTAATTCAAAGAACAATATTATGTTCATTAAGATGCTCATGATTGTTTGCATCCACGACCTGAAAAATTAATGTAACAGAGAAAATAAAAGATTATATTAATACTTGCATTCTCGGTTTAGGTCGCAGATAATGTTGTCTGAGCTTTAATTCTTGCATGTAGTTTTTATTTTGTATTTTACAATCTTAGTATATTCTTAAAATATAGTATATTAATATGTACAACTAAAATTACTAATAAAGATATGAGCAAGGCCTCACCTTAACACCAAAAAAAAA